TGGAGTATCTTTTTCATTCATGCTCTCCTCCAAGCCAACGTAAGTGCAAACGAACCCCATAGGCTTATTTTGTTTGATTGTCGATTCTTTCGTTTTTTTCCTTTGACAGATCTTGTTGAGAGTACCCATTTGTAATTCTGTTTTTACCTTTTTGGCCCTCGGTAACCCTGTTAACTACAAAAATTTCAAAACGAACCAGTACATACTAGTAGGGATGTCAAAAACGAGTCGGGTTGGCTCGTAACTCGTTACAAATGAGTCAGGTTGGGTTGGCATAAATGAGCTTCCAACCCCAGCCGATCCAACCCGGACAAAAACGAGCCAGCCCGCAGGTCAAACGAGCCAGCTCGCGGGTTGATTTTTTTTTAATTAAAAATACTAATATCAACGCTGCACATCGTTCCTCGTCAGTCGTCACTTTCAAAGTAGCTACTTACGCAATTAAATGCTGGTTAAACATATTTTACATTATTGACTTCGTTCTGGGGAAGTCTTGGATAAAGAATATTTGCTATGTTTGTGAAGAGGACACAATAGTACTGGCTATATGTTTTCGTCCATTTCTTTCAAAGTTTAAAAACAACGACACAGGTTTCTATTTGGAACCTTCACGTTCGTTCCCAGAATGTTCCAGAACTCTTCAAAATCTATACTCCTGTTTCCATCAATATCGACTTCACTAATAATTTGGAGTTGGCATTCCAATGGACTTGTCACTTGGTATTTTGTCAGGCCATTCAGAATAGCCAAGACTTATCTTGTGAGTATACTGTGATTCGCGTTGTAGTCATTAACGTGGATAGAATAACAAATGATGTATATTATTAACACTTTCTTGTGCTCAAGCTAATTGCCCCAAGTTCACCAGGTCTGATTGCTTGTTAGATTAGCATAACAAACACTCATATTAGATTATTTAAGGGATTCTGGAATCGTATCGACAATTCAAATTATATTTGAGTAGGATAATTTGTTTGAGCCAACCCGCGAACCAACCCGCGAGCCAATCCGCAAGCCAACTCACTGGCAATATGATGGAACCTATTGTTATTCATAAGAAATTGCAGAAATATAAATGGAGACAAGCTCCTTACAAGGATAAATTGCAGAAAATATAAAGGAAATACAGAAAATAAACACCAAAAGACCTCACTCACTCTAAAGCCAAATACCTAGGCTAAAGAGATCCCAAGAGATCCTTTCCCAAAACCCCACTCCAAATATTCTGAATACCTGAATACCTCACACTCCCACACCCCGTCCTTATATTCTATTATTTAGGAATATTCTAGAATAGTTTCTATAACAAACTAGCTAATTCAGTAACTAATTTTGCATTGCTAAACTTGGGCCCACTAATCCTAGCCCATCAATACTCCCCATTCAAAATTCACCTTGTCCTCAAGGTGAGGAAGATGATAGGGGATGTAATTGAACATCCACCAGGGTCCCATTGCTTGAAGCATATAGAACCAGTTATGCTAGAAGTCAAAGAATTGTCGTTGGGTACTGCTACAACCTTACAAATTGTTGTTCCTTTCTTGCCCTCTAATGCTCTGTTTTCTGTGGAATTGTTGGCCCTGAAACAGAGTATAAAACCACTGTCCCCACGCTCTGTATTTTGTGGAGTTTCTGTCCAGAAAACAGAGTGCATTGGTATGAAAACCCAACCATGTAATCCCCTCTCTTCTTCATAAGGCTTATTCCCACCCTTACCCATAATCAACACATGCCAAAGAAGGAGTTGACAAAGGGAATTGACAGACATGTTGTCCAGTACAATAGATTTACTAACCAGAGGAGCCATTGCAGTGACGTATTCAGCAACTAGCTTCTCATAACCGAAAATATAACCATAAACATGGCGGCAAGCAAAGGGAGTTGCACTTATTATACATGTCTCTATGACTGCAAGAGGCATTCCAGCTAAAACAGCAACTCGGCCAGCATGTGGAATCTCAGCTCCTAAATAATTTGAAACCCTTGTGTATGTAGCTGCACCACCTTCGTGAGGCCCTCCTTTTGTTAGCATAGGGTTTGCAACATTAGTGGCTAAAGCATGTCTTAGGCTTTCAGAATTGAATCCCCCATGTTGGGCCAAAAGATTAGGCCCATTTTGTCTATTAGTTGGACCCCTATGTAACCCATTATGCCCATCCTTGTTTTCTAAAGCATCTCGACCCACAAACCCATGAGCACCTCCAAATCCACCTCCGTTTCGACCTGTAACAGATCCGCTTCGTCTCCGGATCATTCCTTGTTCCCCTACGTGCTCTCCTCGTGACTGGTTCTTCCCATGGCTGAACGACAAAGACCCATTTTCGCTCCAGCCCGTTCCGCCTCCCCAACTTCCCATCATCACTTCGCCTTCTTCCACCCCTTGTGCCCACACTTTCATTCTTCCCAAATCTGCCACTGCTTGCAAGTGCATTTCTGCCTCAACTTCTTCTTCCTCATGATCTTCTTCATCCTCCTGTACTTCTTCTTCTTCTTCTTTTTCTGTAATCTCTTATGCTTCTTTTTCTGAGATTTGATATGCCTTAACGTCTCCTTCTCCTTCTTCTTTTTCAACCTCTGTTTCACCTTCTTTTTCTGCAATCGCTGTATCTACTTCTTTTTGGTTGATGTTGTCTTCTGTTCCTTTGGTTGCTTCTTTTTCTTTATCTTCTATTTCTTCTATTTTTTTTGATCTGGTATCTTCGGTTCTTTTTTCTGAGCTTGGATCTGCTCGTTCTCCTTCTTTTTGCGTTTCTTCCTCCACTGTGGCTTCTTTTTCTTCTTTCTCTACCAAATAAATCTCAGGTAGATATTTATTTATAAATGCTTTGGTAAAATCCCACAATTTTGCATTAGGATTGTTAAGATTCCAAAGCCTAGACCAGTAGAACGCACATCCTTCAAGCCCCTTCAGAGTTTCTGCCAATTGTTGAGCCTCTTCCTTTATTTGTTTTTCTTGAAAATATTGCTCCATAGCAATTTGCCATCCCCAAGCGTCGTCTCCTTCTCCATAAAATGTTGGAACCATTGTATCCTGGATCTGTTGCTCGATTTTTTATTTTTATTTTTATTTTTATTTTTGAATCTGGACCAGAAAGCACCCCTAGATCGGAAGTGCTCTGATACCAAATTGATGGAACCTATTGTTATTCATAAGAAATTGCAGAAATATAAATGGAGACAAGCTCCTTACAAGGATAAATTGCAGAAAATATAAAGGAAATACAGAAAATAAACACCAAAAGACCTCACTCACTCTAAAGCCAAATACCTAGGCCAAAGAGATCCCAAGAGATCCTTTCCCAAAACCCCACTCCAAATATTCTGAATACCTCACACTCCCACACCCCCTCCTTATATTCTATTATTTAGGAATATTCTATAATAGTTTCTATAACAAACTAGCTAATTCAGTAACTAATTTTGCATTGCTAAACTTGGGCCCACTAATCCTAGCCCACCACAATATTTCTAGCTAACCAACCCGCGAGCTAACTCATTGACATTATTTCAATCTAACCCGTGAGCTTTTTTCCGAGCCAACCCGCGAGCCAACCCTAACCCGACTCGAGTTGGGCTGGGTTGGGTTTTCTGACTCGTTTTTTTTTTTCGGGCCAACCCTAACCCGACTTGTTTTTTTCGGATTGAATACGGGTTAGGCCGGGTCGAGCTGGGTTGGCCCGTTTTGTCAACCCTACATACTAGTCTAATCAAGGCAATAAGCTAAACCATCTAAAACTAAGCCATCCATAGCTTCATTATTCAAACTATAACCTAACAAGCCTAATATAGAAACTTCACATTAAATAGGTCCTACATTATTAAAATTGGACCATTCATTAAAAGGTTAATAATTTTTACCGTAGCAGAGAAACTATTAATTTTTCTACTGAGATGAAAAGAGGTGAGACCTATTATATTTAAAAATAATAAAAAAACTTCGCGAGATTTTTTATGGGTCTGTGAGAGGGGATATATTGTTGGAAATCGACAATCACACAGAATCGAGAAAACAGAAAAAGAGATAAGAGTAGAGAGATTGACACGATGATTTACCCTAGTTCACCCAATATAGGCTACGTCCAGCTTGTCTGTACTATATTCACCTCACCGCCACTCGTTACAAGTCTCTCGGTTTACAAGGCAAATATAAATAGGATTACAAAAAACCCTAACAGCAGCTATTCATGGGCCCAAGCCCAAACTGCTAAGAAAATTACCATAGAAATAGAGGCCTAAACATTGCCTAGCCTCTACGGGCCTGGGGGCGCTGCCCCCCGGACCCCCGCCCGCTCACCTGGGAGCGGAACCCCAGTTGCCTTTCTGCTGACCCCGACAATTAGGGTCAACATCATCATGTGAAGTATGAGCCATACCCAACATATATACCTTCATTAAATCGATAAATGTACTGATTCACATCTCTTTGGTTTGTCTGTGGTTGAATACATTACAATCGAATCGGTGATAAATAGATATATATTTTTTAATATTTATAATTTATTAAAAAATAAATTAGACCATATTGTTTGTCCTGTATGATAAAAAAAATTAAAAATAAGAGAATAAATAATAATCACCCAGCAAATATTATGGATTGAGGCAAAAAAAAAAATACAATAATATTGTTTAGTACTTCAAAGTCAGCATTGAACAGTGAGTAAAACATTCAAACTTATATATATATAAATTAAGATGAGGCGATACTTGCTGCAAATCTCTTATAAGATAGCGAATGATATATATATTAGTTAGAAGCAAATCATTCAAGAACAAGGAAGGAGTTATTTTATGATTTTGTTACAAGGTAATTGGTGGACTTCAATTATCACCTAAGGAAATTGGCATTGTCCCACCAAGAACAACAATCAACAAGACCAAATGGATAAGATTTCCTAGATATTTTTATAAGAAAAAGCCACCTATCAGTGATATTTTAAGGTCCCATATACATGTCAGGACTTAAAAAATATCAGCCACAGCCACCAACTCCTACAAATACACACAAACACAAACACCCATTTCTAAGATACCCGAGGAAGAGTGAGGTCAGGAACATAGACACATATAGCATAATTAGCACTAGAAGAAGAAGAAGGTGAACAAAAATGGAGGGTCCCAGAAGGCCAAACAGGAGTGACATACATGTCTCAGCTGAGGAAGAAGCCACCACAGAGGAAAAGACCAGAGAGTATTTCGATGGAGTGGCACCACAGCGCCACACAAAGCCTCAACGCAGTGACTATTCTTCTCAATATGTGGATTCTTTCTCCAACAACATCAATGGCCAAGATTCATCTTCTATACCAGAAATGCTACAATTCCAACGCCTCGAGAATGATCCTCAAGAGGTTAGTAGTTCCAAAAGACCAAAACATTATATTAATCTCTTGAAAGGGTTAATCTCATAATACACGAGAAATCTTCTCTCATGTTATGTTATAGATACATGTGTGGTAAAACTCACAATTTATTAAAAAAAAGAAAAAAATATCATGATTTTCGATGGATTCGAAAATAAACTATTCTTATGTAATTTTTTCCTTAAAGAAATTCAGTTTTGTAGAATAAAAAATTTGAGTAATTAAAAAACTGCGTTTGCCGGGAGTCGAACCCGGGTCTATTGCTTGGAAGGCAATTATCCTAACCGTTGGACTACAAACGCTTGCTGTTTACTCTGTCACTTTTTATTTATAATTTCTCAATATCTAGTCGATTTGTGATTTTGGGTCTAGTCATTTTTTGTTTTAAATAACTTTCATATGAGCTAGATCTTGGTATGACTAAGATGTTATAGATTTTATAGACTTGATCCACCTTAAAATGGTTTGACTTTTCATATAATGGTTATCATATTTTTTATTTTAATTACTTGATAATACATAGGTGAATGATAATGTGAAAAAAGTTTCATTTTTTATGAAAACCATGCTCATTGCTCAACTTTATATGTCCACGTTCCCATCTAATATGGTTTCATTCCCACCCCCAAATAATTGCATTCCAGAAATTGGTTTACGATGGAAATCAAGTGACAGAAGAATTTGTGGAAACAGAGTATTACAAAGATCTCAACAAGGTGGACAAACACCACCATACGGTATTCACTCCCATCCTACTTGCTTTCTTCTCAAAATATCCTTGGTTTCACACAAATATATGGATATAGATGTTAGCTACATTCTTCTCAAAATATCCTAAGTTTCTCATATCATATAGATATTAGCGGGCATATCTTTCCTACAAATGTAAAATTGAATTTGTAATTTGAAATTCAAACTACATGCTCTTAATTATATTAATTAGGTGCATACCAATAACCAAAAAAATATACCAGTTAATAATAGAATTCACCTTTATTCTTTATTCTTTTTTTTGGTTAATTTGCTTGCAAAATTAAACCCATTTAACTTTTTAACGGAGTGAGCCTTTATATTTAATGCCAACCAATCATATCTAGCAGATCACCTAGACTTGTGTTTATCAATTTACGTGTAGATTTGGATACTTACATGTTACTTATCAAAATGATGATGATTGATGATGTTACATTACGAGAAACAAAGATACAAAAGCAAAATTAATCGACATTGCTTATGTGTGTTTCACTCTCCTGAGATTACGTTGTGATATTGTTAACACACAAAAATCTATATCTTTTACAAATAACCATAGGTATGACATGAATATGTGTGCTTCACCCACAGACAGGAACAGGGTTTATCGAAGTAGAGAAAAGTGGCAAATGCTTCCACATAGAACCAGATAATGATACTGATTGTCATCACTCTAGCAAGGGCAATCCAGCAACCAATGACTGGGTTCCTACTCCTTCCACTGAGGTACTATCCCATATTACTTTGCTCTTTTTCTTAAATCAAACTCTGTCATCTTTGTGTTGTTCTGAAAATTTGCTCTGACTTTAATATGTTTCAGGTGGGTTTCAATTCAGACAAACCTAACAGGAGTGAAATCTGAAAATGGAGGAGTGGCTGCTGTTTTCTTTAAATGAAGAGAATAATATCTCAGCTTCATTTCAGATTCTGGGGATTCCAAGCAAGTAGTGCTTAAAGTTGCAAACCAAATAAATTCAAATAAAAAAAGACTTGTGATTTGGATTCAAGGTTATTGTGTTTGAATATGGTATTGATTAAGCATTTCATATTGTATCATTCATGTCCTATGTTTCTGAAAACTTCTGCAGTCTCATGTACGTTTATTTTTAAGTAAGTTAATATTTTAGCATTCTGTATTACAACCAACAGCAGCACTATTTATATTCATTAAAACGCCGTGCTAAACTTCCACCAATACAACCTATGTTTGCTTATAATAGCCTTACAGAAATTGCTTTACCTATTTTGATGTTTGATCTAGTTGTCATTCAATTAAATATGGGAATAAATGACTATAACTTCTCAAGTGATAAAATCTTTCCCCAAATTATAACAAAGCACAAGAGCAATGGAAAAAGGAAGCTATTATCTATTTAATTGACTGCATGCTTATATTTATAAAAAGATCATAATACAGTTTTAGGAAATAATGAGTCTAAAACTTCTCATCAAACGTTTATCCCTAGAAACAAGTTTGATCAAACAGTTATTTGTTACCAAAAATTCATATCCCAAAAGAGCAAAATAAAATGACAGAGATGCTACTAGTAAGTTTTGTCATCTCATCTCAACAAGCTACAGCTTTTATGATACATATTAGACAAAACTAGCTTTTGTTAGTATGTAGATTGATTAGAACAAAATGTGCTTTCTTCTCAAACATGTGAACTCACTGCAGCTGACATCAAACACATGCTCCCAGGTACTGCCTTATATGTCTTTAGAAATTCGATCAATGGACTGCGAGCAAAATTTTCCATAATTAAAACAGAATACATATGGAGCAAGAAGTAAAAATTATATGAGCAACCAAGGCATTGGATTTAAAGGGTGCTTAACAACGATTGAAATTCACTAATAAATAGTCATTTAAACAATGATAGGATGTTTGTATTTCAAACTCCTTCCAAGAAATTAAAAAATAAAAAGGAAGAAAAAATTAGTACCTATTGGAAGATCTTAACAAAGATCTGCAGTTTTGAAAGCTCAATGCAACTTCCTAGGAGGAGCACTTTCTTTTATTGTACCCTTTATTGAAATTCACTTTCTTAGAAAATTCATGCATGTAAATTTCAACAAATTCTTCATTTACATGTAATATGGCAGAAAAAATAACAAATTGACTCTGATCTTGTTCCTACTTTTACTTACTGAAATTTCAATCAGTTAGTGAATATGGGAATGAGCAGAGACCATGACAACTATTCTTTCAAACTTTTTTTTTTATTAAATATCAGTTGTAACTATAAATATTCCATTATACTTGAGTTTGCAAAACTTAATCTATTAAATATTTTGTCGTCTTCCTCTAACAATACAACACTTATATTTTAGTTTCAATGACATTGATAAATGTTACCTCAAGAGTTATTTCGCCAAATAGTGGCAGGGGACAGTTATCAACCTCCCAGAATGTATCTATTAAATGTTCAATCTCTGGATCTAGTTCCTGTCAAAATATTGAATTAAACAGGGCGATTTTAGAGATTAGATTGATAGTAGCTATTGACATGAATGAAATTGCTTAAATAATGTGCATATAGTCATAGGCAACTAAGTTAAACAATGAAATTTGGAGACGTGTTTCTGCATTTAATATTTAATCAGATTGTGTTATTTTATGTAGTATCCATACAAACACGTATATCAAGCCTAACTGCCATTGAGGGGAGTTAGACTTAGAGCCTTACAAATCAAATACATTTTTTTTTCTTCTTATTTCCATATCCAAGTAAAATGTAAATATAACCGTACATAATTTCCATCTTAACTGCAATTGACCTTACCTCATTCTCATGTGCGACTTTTTTATTTTCTTCCATAGTACATTTTCTCCTTTTGCATTTCGAGAGGTCCAATTTATCTGAATATGAGGAAAAACCTTCGGACACATGATTGTTTCCCTGCACAAAACAACATTTAATATAATCTAATCAGGGGAAAAAACAAAACTGATATCATCTTGAATGAAGTAAAACTGAGAATTTAAAATATCAGTAAGTAAAATATATCTTAGCTCAAGAGATGCTTATTCTTACATGCAACCATGTTGACTGCTTTGCCTTGGTTCCTCTGATCATTGCTGCAACATGCAAAAAACTACAATTAGAGAATGAATGACCCAATATTGTTATTGTTTAACATTAGCAGTTAGCACTGTAGGTATTGAAAGGACAGTTATACACAAGACTTGAGTCTCTTAAAATTAAAAAATGACATGAAATATTATTGTTCAGGGGAAGTTGTGCATGTAGAGAAATACTAGTAAGAGACATGAAATATTATTATTGTAAGCCCCTGTATTGGTTTGTAAAAAGTTATGAATAAATCAGATTGGCAACTATTTAGTCCTTTATAGCTCTTTAATAATCCACAGCAAGTGTCACACAGTCGAGGTAGAAGAGATTCCCAAATAACTATTTCTACCAATGCTTTTGCATGAAGGTTTTAGTGATTGGGTAACCAATTTATATTCAACCTCTTCCAATTTGACATGCTATTAAAAAAGTAAATATAGCTATTATAGGGAGTAGAAAGAAACACACCAGAAGAAAATTTAATCACCAATTGCTTGTTTTCTTGCACATTCATTGGAAGCGTTCTTGATTGAGAAGCATTCAACTCTTGCAAGCCTTCTCTCTTTCAATTACCATGTAAAATAAAACCAAGAAAAGTGAGATATGCAAACATTTGTAAAAAAAAAAAACATCTTGAATTATGGTCACCATCAATCAAAACCTTTAAAGAAGAGAACATCTTCGTAGCAAGTTTTTTCACCACTTAGCTAATACTCCTTCTGGAGGATTTATTACTGAAACAACCAACCAACCCACATTTCTCAGTCAAGAAATTCTCAATCACCTAACAATCCATAATGCAATAACATTTGAAGGGAAGATTCAAGAATAATTCTTTACATAATTTTCTAGTGAGCAATTAGATCAAACGTACTAAAGTTTGCATGAAACAAGTAAATAAATTGAATTGGAAGGAATGAAAAAGAATCAAAGAATATTGAAGCAACAAAGCAAGGTTGGGGAAATACCTATGAATTAGACTTTGGAAGAAAGATGAATTTCATGAAAAATAATGCTCACAGCAACTATTAGTGTAGAAGGCAGTGGCACTTTGATAAATGGAATAAGCGAAACAAAGAGTAAGAGAGAGGCATTACTATATATATATATATGAATGGAGCAATCTCTCAATAAGGTTTCTAAAGGTGGCTTTCCACATTTGGCACTCTAAAAAGGTGAGACTCAGAAAAGGTAGCAGTTTCGATCACGTCGTTTGGAAACGCTGCTTCGCAACAATGTGAATGGATATGTTTGTTTCCCTCCAAAAGGCATTTTTGAGTGCATATTAAATGCAATCTTATATTTGTATAATTCAAAATCTTATTATATTAGAATTTGACAATTCTGCAAGGGTGCGTTGCCTTTTTTTGGAGGATTGAACTGATCAGTCCAATTTGGTTAGCCCGATAAGAAATAAGGATCTAAACCTTTTGGGGCCGTTTGGTAGGAGGTAAATTTTTAAATGTCTAGGATTCTGAATTTGGTAGTCTAAGATTGCAATGTTTGGTATCCAAAAAATGAAAATTATCTTGGGAAACAAATTTTTCGAGATTTCCATCCATAGTGCAAAGCAATAGACCAAAATAATCCTATTGATGCATTGTGTCATATCCTTTTGAACATAAAAAGGGTAAATGTGGGGTTATTTTCGTAAAATAACCTCATATTTTCACTAATATTTCACAATCAACCAAACACACACTCACAGTAAATTTAAGCATAAAATCTCGAGAAAATTTGACTTTACCAAACACTTTTTTAGTAAAATTTTTGAAAAATTTATTTTCCACTATATTCTAGTAATAATTTTTTTTCCAGATAAATAAAAATTTCTTTTCTACCAAACACGTTTCTCAAAAGGGGAAGTGTGAATATTGGAGCGCGGAGTGCGAATAGTATAGCCTATGATGCACGGACACGGATACATGACACGACACGCCGACACGTTAATTCTAAAAAATGTCATATTTCGACACGTTGGGACACGTTTTGATATTAAATAAAATTTTTAATATATATAATATAATTTATATTTAATATATATAAGAGTCCATAATAAGTCATATAACCAATCAAATATTTAAATTTCATAACATAAATATAAATATAAATAATTTTTCGTACTTTGTTAATTTTTCATGTCAAATTTCATAACAGAAAAAAATTAATTTATAAATTATTTCTTTTATATTTAGTTAACAAAATAAAATTAAGATTTAACAAAAAAAAAAACGTGTCCGAGCGTTAATCATGTGTCGAAAAAATGTGTCGGAACATGTCGAAAAGTTGATCGCGTGACGGAGCGTGTCCGTGTCGGACACGTGTCCGACACACAAATTTTTCAAAAACTTGTGTGTCCGTGCTTGTTTGAGTATAGCACCACCACTGATGATCGATTGAATCAGATCTTAATAAGAGATTTTCCCCACAAGAAAAAATATTTTTGCGTAGAAATTTTATTTTTTTTGTTACACTCACATAAAAATAAATGAGTTTCATTATAATGAGAAAAAAAAGAATAGTTGTATATAATAAGACTTATTCACTTTTATATAAGTCTGGCAAAAGAATTTTTTTTTTTACAAAAATAAAATAAAATTTTTCTGCATATATATATATATATATATATATATATATATATATATATATATATATATATATATATTAGATCATACTTATTAATTAATTATAATTTTTAAAAAATTATAATTATTAAATTGACAGAAATCAACAATTAAGATTTGATGTACACCAGTGTCAAAGAATCATAAATATATTTATATAGGAAAATAATAGCTTCATATTGCATAAGAGAGTTATCTTATGCCATACACTCATAGAATTTCGTGCCAATTTTTTTGTTCTTTTTCTTTTTACATTATGGACCCCACCTATTTGTGTCACTCACATGAGGGTACTATCTCATGTAACATGAAATTAGTAAATAAAACTAATATTCTTGAATTATCTCATGAGATTAGCATAAACTCATTAAGTCAAGTAATATTTTATTCTT